CAAGGTGCGTGGCGTTGCAAAGTTTTGGCTGGTTGATATTTCGCAACATGATAATTGGGAAGCCGATTTTCAGTTGCCTTATGTGTGGTGGTATCCCTGGCAGATCGAGTAAATTAAAACATTCTGTTGGATAATTAATCGCTTCATGTGCTTCCTCAACAGTGTCGACGGACTTGTATGTGACTGACTCGCTTTGTATATTAGACTGAATAATATTGTTAACGTCGTAGACGTCTTTGTTCTTGGCCGCAAGAATAGCTCGTTCATTCAGCCAATCGTTATTCATATAATTGGTTTGAATATTGAGAAATAATTTTTCAACCAATTCTTCTTTTGACGTCACTAAATTGCAGAAGTTATGAGACAATGAAATTCGTCCTGAGGTCAGATCAACCGGCACGTTTCCGTTCCTAATTTCCAGAAATTAACGTGAGAATATCTCAGCTGATGGATCGTTTTGCAGTAGCTACATAACTACATGCATATTTGTAGTTAATTTAAATGTCTTTACGAGGCGCCACAAAGTAGAGTATTTCAGACAGGCATTTATTTCGTCCGCTGGTGTCGATCAAGGAATTACAGGTAATGTTTGGCTGAAATCTACTGCAAACAATATTAACGCGTTCCCAAATGGTCTGATGTTTCCACGCAAATCTTGCAATGATCGATCAAGAGCCTCGAGCGATTTTTTGCCGTGCATTGTGCATTCATACCAAACAATAAATTTGCCTTTCTGCATTACTTTTCCCAGGCCTGACGCTTTGGAAATGTTGCACGTGGGAGTTACAATGAATTACATGCTCATTGGCGATTTCGAAGCCGAAAGAGCAGTTCATCCTCCTGGTCGCAATGTTTCAGCAATTCCGGACGATGCATGAGCTAAGGCTATGCCATTTTGGAATCGAAATGCTGCCAGAATCAATCTAATTAGAAATGTTTTACCAGTTCCTCCTGGAGCATCTAAGATTTCTCCAAGCTTGTTATTGAAAGTTTGAATTATTTGATTGTAAATGCCTTTTCGCTCAAGCGTTAGCTTAGGAATATTTGATTAAACATACGACAACAGATCACTCGTGTTGTAATTTTGTTCACGACGCAATTCTACATCGAACGAAGCAGCAGCAGATCGATTCGATGATGGCATTTCCAATTGATTGAGAACTTTGTTCGCGATTTCTAAGCACAAGTCTCCAGTCATTATCAACGCTTCGTTGTAGATTTTTGCTGTAAAATCCATGGTCATATTTGAATTTTCATTGCGTATTCGACGGATAATATCTTCAACCATGTGCGATTTATATTTCTCCCATAACTCTGTTGGAGATGAAGAAGAGCCGATGGTCAATATGATTGCAAACAATGCACGAATTTGATTTGGATGTGACGTGTTGGACGTGTCATTAATGCACACATCCCAGTGTCGGTCGTTCTCCAATAAATTCAGAGCTTGACATGCACTACGGGAAGTGGCATGTGTTACGCTGTTGACAAATCTCAAATGCTGGAAAGACGTTGGACCGGGCACATTTACCTACAGCATGTGAAGAAAGAAGCATTCATCCTGATTGGGATACATGGTTTACAGTCTGCCTATCGTAGTTTATTTGAATATGTCAGGTCGTCCATAGACTCGATCTCGTCGTTTGCGTCGTTCAAATGATTTTCTACTGGCATTCCATGTGTAATACGTAGGCACTTCCGAATACAGCAATGTTTTGGCAAACGCGTCATTTTGACATAACGTGAAGAACGCAGTTAACGCTGTAGCCGGTGGATTCATAGCTGTTTGTTGAACATTTGCAGCTGTGAAATAAACGTGTTGTCCATTTTCATGTTTTTAAAACAAAAACAAAAAATACTAAGGAAATAATTGAATTCAATTGCAGATCAATCGACACAGCTTAATTTCACCACCAATTGCACTGGAAAATAAGAACGGTTAAAAGAACGAAATGAAAAACAATGGAAAAAAGAAACAAATAAACTATAACCACGAAATAAACGGTATGGAAAACAACACAGCTCAATTCCAATGCAAAGTCACACAAAATAATTAAATCAAAATTAAAATAAATCAAAATCTATGAAAATTCAATTTATCGATGCAATCGGAAACATTGATACGATTCCATATAGCTTGTGTTTGGTCTTACGTGCAACAGATGGCGCTGTTTAAAAAAACGCATGGTTTTACCTGTCATAGGTGTGGCATCGACATAGTACATGTAAAAAAAGACGCACGTATGCGAATGGAAAGTTGTGTTAAAATTTCAAAGCCATCGGTAAAGAAGTTTTGGAGATTAAAGCGTGTGTTGCTCCTGCATCCTACAGATGGCCTTGTTAAAAAAAAACACGTTTTTTCCTGGCACAGGTGAGGCATGTATATAGTAGGTATATAAAAACACTCGCCTATTCATATGCAACGTTGTGCCAAAATTTCAAAGCAATCGATAAAGCGGTTTCGAAGTTTTCCCCTCACATGAAAAACACCGTTTTTCAAAAAACTTGCTTTTTTCCCGTCACGGACGTGGTATCGATACAATATGTATATAAAACCCCGCTCAGATGCGAATGGAACGTTGTGTGAAAATTTCAAAGCAATCGGTGAGGAACTTTCGGAGATTAGCGATTTTGAACAAACGAATATTTCCATTATTATTTATATAGATTTGCATTTTCGTTTAATTCTATCCAAATAGTTTCTGTGTGTGCTCAGTTTTGATTCCCTCTTTGAGACTACATTTCAAATTTTCTCTAACATATATGGCTCCTCCCCCTACTCATTTAATATATCTGTGTGAAATAGTTTAAATCCATTTATCTGATATTCAGGTAATAGTTCTCTATTTTCTACATTCATCCACGTATCGGTAAGTGCAATAATATCATTTTTTTCTGTAAATACAAGAGCATTTAATTCGTTTACTTAGTTTCTTAGACTTCTACTGTTAGTGTAATATACCCTAAGTGTATTGCTATTTTGAGACCCTTCTCTTTCCCTGATCATTTTGTCAATTTCTTTCTCCCACAAACACATACTTATATTACCTCCTTCCTCCATATCAATTCCCATACCACTTTCTACTAACAGTCTAAACCCATACTAACGCCTCCAACTACTGGTTCTAACGAGTTCACAACAACAACAACCCCAGCCCTCGATAGATGCATCCCATCCCGAGCATCGAGAAGAAATGAAGGAGGAGACCAATATTAAAAAGACCTCGTCGTGGTAAGTCATAAAGTACAGGGACCTTAAGAAGACCTTGACAAGGCCACCTACAGACGCCCTAAAAACTTCAAATTCATTTGCCATGTTGGAAGACGAGTGCTGTGGAGATCCTGCATTTCACTCGAAAGGGAAATCAACGAAGAGCAACGAACCGCAGGCCCCTCAAAGTGCTTAGAAAATAAAAAAGGCACCTAAGCGAATTTTGGTTGTGGGAGATTCCCAGGTGAGGTAATTAGACAGAACGTTTTGTGCTAGAGATAGGGGGAACAGGTTAAGGGTTTGCTATCCGGGAGCTGGAATTGGTGATATTATAAACAACATGAATGATATTATGGCTGGAATTGGAAACAATCCCATTATTTGTATTAGTGCAGGAGAAATGATGTTGGTCGAGTTACGAGTAAGGAACTGATTCAGAGGTATAAAACAACCATAGAATTAGTTAGGACCAAGGGAGGAATCCCAATGATATATGGCATTCTTCCATGAAAGGGAGTTGGAAATGAATGGCTGTCGAAGGCACTTGGTGTCAATTGCCGGCTGGAAAGATATTGCAAATCAAATGCAATATCTTTCATTGATAACTGGGAACACTTCTATGGAAGAAATGAAAATGACCAATTTTGGTCACACAAATGTTATGAACAGTTTCTTTATTATTTCACCTTTCATATAATTAAAAGAGAAACTAAGAAATACCTGATAAACTCTATTCAACCTACCTTACTTCTAAATTTCATTGATAATCCAAAATCCAAAACCTGTTATTGAACCTAACAAAATCAATAATTTTGCTGCTGTTCAATAACATCAGCAAAATCTGCTGTTATTGAACATTAATAATTTAATCTGTACAGTTGCTGTTATCTACTTTGTAAAAAAATTATTACAAAAATGTATTCTTTCTTTTTATGATGTAAAATTATTATGTTCTTTTGTAATTTTTTCTGTTCCAATTATCGTGTAATAATTATAATTTATTTGTATTTCTCTACTTCAATTCATAATTTTTTTATCTCATTCAGTTTTAAGTCGTTTGTCTTCTTCCCACTATATTATGCCCGAAACGTTCTGAGTATTAAGTGTTTTTGGGCATTGTACTTGCCCTACTCTTGAATCATGCATTCATCTTGTATCCTATGTGAATATGTATGTATGTATGTATGTATGTATTCACCTAGTTGTATTCACCTCGTTGTGTTTGCGGGGGTTGAGCTTTGCTCTTTCGGCCCACCTCTCGACTGTCAATCAACTGTTTTCTAACTACTTTTGTTTTCCTCTCCACACCACACACACACATACACCCCAGGAAGCAGCCCGTGACAGCTGACTAACTCCCAGGTACCTATTTATTGCTAGGTAACAGGGGCATTCAGGGTGAAAGAAACTTTGCCCATTTGTTTCTGCCTGGTGCGGGAATCGAACCCACGCCACAGAATTACGTGTCCTGCGCGCTATCCACCAGGCTACCAGGCCCCCTGGTATCCTGTGTTTACATGTATGTATGCACTTCTGCTTTAATAAAAAGTGCATTATTACTACTTACTATTACTTACATTATTATATTACTATTACTACTACTATTATTAGTAGTAGTAATAGTAGAAGTAACGCTATATTAGTCTCCTTATTATGTTTACATTATAACCGAAATATTCAGCATATTAGTGGGTTTATATAATTGTTCTTTACTTACCTATGTATCATTTCATTGCTAAGATTATATACTCTAGCATAAATTCATTACTATTTTTATTGTTATTCTTACCATTTTGCAGTTGGGGCAGGGTAAAGGTGCCATGCATCTTCTCACACATACAGTACAGCACATTTGTAATTTTTCTGTAAAAAGTGCACTGCAGTACCCATCTTCAACACCCACAATCTCACCTGCAAATTTAAAATTGATTTTCGCTAATAAAGGTGCGCTAATAAACGTACAAAGCTTAAATGTACTGGATCTGGAACATATTTTAAATCTAGGCTGCATGATGACATTTTTCAATATTTTATATAGCTATATCATAATCATATGATATAGTATGATTATGTATGTATGATATAGTATTAAGCATATGTATGATATAGATGTATTATATAGTATGATATGATGTATTAAGTATGATATAGATATAGCATATGATATAGTATTAAGATTATCAATCACTTAAAATAGTAACATTTTAACGATAATTAAGTTATATACCCAGTAAATATATTTGCAAATAAAAGGACCTATATATGACCTGAGGTCCCCATTTCATGGCTAATGCACTCAACATATTACAAGGATTTTTTTTAAGTACAGGCTGGTCATGTATATATATTATATATATATATATATATATATATATATATATATATATATATATGTCGTACCTAGTAGCCAGAACTCACTTTTTGGCCTACTATGCAAGGCCCGATTTGCCTAATAAGCCAAGTTTTCCTGAATTAATATATTTTTTGTAATTTTTTTCTTATGAAATGATAAAGCTACCCATTTCATTATGTATGATGTCAATTTTTTTTTATTGGAGTTAAAATTAACGTAGATATATGACCGAACCTAACCAACCCTACCTAACCTAACCTAACCTATCTTTATAGGTTAGGTTTGGTTAGGTAGCCGAAAAAGTTAGGTTAGGTTAGGTTAGGTAGGTTAGGTAGTCGAAAAACAATTAATTCATGAAAACTTGGCTTATTAGGCAAATCGGGCATTGCATAGTAGGCTGAGAAGTGCGTTCTGGCTACTAGGTACGACATATATATATATATATATATATATATATATATATATATATATATATATATATATACAAGAACATATAAATACATAAAACTGCTAATGGCCTAATCGCATATGCAAGGTAGCACATATTTATATCCACCTAACTAATTCATATTTATGTCTAACCTACACTTGAAACAACCCAACAATCCCATGTCTAACTCAGTAATTTCTAGAATAAATCATCCAGCCTATCAAACATATAAATCCAGTGTCCTGGGATTTATACAGTGAGGCACAGTCAGTCACAGTGAGAGGGTGTGTTACTTGGGTTACAATTGTCTTGATACTGAAAATAGAAGGTTTAGTGAGTGAACTGGTACTAGTGAGGGAGCTATATGGAGTTCTGAGACCAGAGGTGGATTCCCTGCGGGAGTAGCTACGACAGATGAAGGAGCTAAACCTTATGAAACAACATCAAGATGAAGCAAAGGGAGAGAGCTACAGTAGAAAGTCTTCGTCTTGGAATGTCGTAGACAGGTGTTTTAAGAAGACTCTGACAAGGCCGCCGACTGATGTCCTAAGGACTACTAACTCATTCACTTTGTTGGAAGACGAGTGCTGACGGGAGCCTGCAGTTCGCTCGGTCCCTCAAGGTGCTCAAAAAGTAATGGGATTACCTAAGCGACTTTTGGTTGTGGGAAATTCCCAGGTGAGGTATTTGGATAGAACATTTTGTGCCAGAGATAGGGGAAACAAGGGTTTGCTATCCAGGAGCTGGAATTGGTGATATTGTTAACAAATGAATGATATTATGGCTGGAAATGGGCACAAACCCATTATTTGTATCAGTGCTGGTGGAAATGATGTGAGGCGAGTAAGGAGTGAGACACTGATACAGAGGTTAGAGACAGCTATAGAATTAATTAAGGAGGAAGGGTGGAATCCCGTTTGGAATCTCCGTTTGGAAGAAGCAAGGGTGGAATCCCCGATCATATGTGGCCTTCTTCCAAGAAAGGGAGTTGGAAATGAATGGTTGTCGAGAGCACTTGGTGTCAATTGCCGAGGTTATCTCTTGAGAGAATTGATTTCGTGGTTTTAGTGTCCCCGCGGCCCGGTCCTCGACCAAGCTTCCACCCCCAGGAAGCAACCCATGACAGCTGACTTGCCAACTGGACAAATAATGCAAATCAAATGCAATATCATTCATAGATAACTGGGAACAATTCTATAGAAGAAATGAAAAGTATGCTTAGGATGGGGTGCATCTTTCTTGGGCTGGGGTTGTTGCTGTTGACAACTAGTTGGAACCTCTGGTTGGAGGGGGTTTGTTTGGGTTTAAATTGTTAGTAGATAGTGGTATGGGAATTGATATGAAGAAAGGAGGTAATAAAAAGTAAATGTTTATGGGAAAAACAAATTGGCAAAATGAACAGGGAAATAGAAGGGCCTCAAATTAACAATACACATAAGGGATATTATACGAACAGCAGGAGTCTAAGAAACAAAAAACGATTTAAATGTTTTTGTCTACACAGAAATAATAGATAGTATTTCACTTACCGAAACATGGATGAATGTTGAAAATAGAGATATATTAGCTGAATATCAAATAAACGGATTAAAACTATTTCACACCGGTAGATATATTTGACGAGGAGAGGGAGAAGCCATATATGTTAGGTATAATTTGAAATGTAGTCTCAAAGAGCGAATCAAAACTGGGCCACACACATAAACTATCTGACTAGACTTAAACGAAAAACTTAAAAACTTATAATTGGAGTTATATACAGGCCACCAAACTTAGACAGAATGGAAGCTAAGTATCTATGGGATAAAGTATCTAGAGCACCTAGGTCAAACATTATTTGTGTCATGGGTGACTTTAATTTTAGTTAAATAAACTGGATTAATAAAACAGGGGATAATAAAGCAGAAGATTTTCTAGAATTAACTGATGATGGCTTTCTTAAGCAACACATTAAGGAACCAACACGGGAAAACAATATTTTAGACTTTGTGTTAACTAACAGGGAAACACAAATTATGAAATCGAAATAGGGAGTGAGCTAGGGAACAGTGATCACAAAGAAATCATATTTAGCATAGAATGGAATAGATCTGTAGGATAAAATTCTGTTAAAGAGCCAGATTTTTGAACAGCCAATTTTAAAGGACTAAGATTTTTTTGTGTGAAATAGAACGGAAAGTCCTGGTCCTGGGGGGTGGGCCGGTCTTGGAGCGAGACGTGAACCCAGCACTGGGTGATGTAAAAAGGGATTTTGATGTGTATTTAAGATATAACTTATTTAAAAATATTCTGAGAAAAGCACAGGAACGTAGTATACCATACTAATTGAATAGATCGAATAATAATGACCCGAAATGAATAACAAAGGATTTGAAGAAACTTATAGGTAGAAAGAGAGCTTAGTAAAAAAGGATTAAGAATCGGGAAGTCAGTTTAGAACGGGAATTCGTTCAATTGGTTATAAATGTTAAAAAAAGATAAGGAGGGCAAAAAGAAACTATGAAGTTCGCATAGCAAGGCAAGCGAAGACAAATTCTAAAGGTTATTTTCAATTATATTGAACAAAGAAAAGGATAGGTCTATTAAAAACCGAGACAGGTCAGATAACTGATAATGACGAAGAAATGTGTAGTATTTTTAATAAATATTTTATCTCTGTATTTACTAAAGAAGAACTGAACATAATGCTTTCAGCTGAACAAGTCTATGTGGGTGGGAAAGACGACAAGCTGACTAGTTTAGCAGTTACCAGGGAGGATGTTATTATATAAGCCAAACAAATCCCCAGAGCCGGCCGAAGTGTTTGCCAGGGTGCTTAAGAAATGCAAAGAGGAGCTTTGCGAGCCATTGTCTGCCATATTTAATTAATCATTTGAGTCAATCAGAGTGCCAGAGTCATGGAAGGTTGCTAATGTGGTACCAATTTTTAAGAAAGGAGATAGATCACTCAAACTATCGGCTAATTCGCTTAACGTATATTGTGGGAAGTTACTAGAATCGATAATTGCAAATACCATTCATCTTCATCTTGAAAAATACAAATTAATAAATGATTCACTACATGGTTTACAAATGACTGTTTAAGAAATTTGCTATCATTTTATTCCAGCATATTTGAGGCAGTTGATAGTGGTAAGGTTTGTGATGATGCGTACCTTGACTTTAGCAAAGCTTATGATGCAGTGCCACATGAAAGACTGATTAAAAAGTTAGAGGCACACGGTATTGGGGGTACTATATTTAGTTTGATTAGGGAATGGCTATACCAAAGGAAACAACGAGATAGCATAAGTGCGATTAAGTTAGAGTGGGAAAATGTTGAACGTGGAGTGCATCAAGGCTTTGTCCTGGGACTTCTGTTATTCATTATAAATATGAAGGATTTAGATTCAGGTTTGAGCAGCAATATTTGCAAATTTGCCGACGATACAAAAATCGGGAGGGAAATAAATGAAATGGTCAGAAGATTGGCAGATGCAGTTTAATGCTGACATATGTATGGTTTTAAAGCTAGGTAATGATAATATAGATACAAAATACGATCTAGGTTATATTGACATAGTTACAAGATACGAGCTAGATGGTGATGAGATTGCGAAAGGGATCTGAGAGTTATGATCAGTAAGAATTTAAAACAAAAAATCAATGCATAAATGTTCGAAATAAGGCAAACAGGACTCTGGGATTTATTAATCGAAGCTTTACTAATAAGTCACCTGGTGTTGCTCTTCAGCTATATCTTGCTCTATTTAAGGGCCTGACAGCTGAGAGGACAGCGCTTCGGATTCGTAGTCCTGAGGTTCCGGGTGCGATCCCCAGTGGAGGCGGAAACAAATGGCAATAGTTTCTTTCGCCCTGATGCACCTGTTCACCTAGCAGTTAACAGGTACCTGGGAGTTAGACAGCTGCTACGGGCTGCTTCCTGGGGGTGTGTAATAAAAAGGAGGCCAAGTCGAGGACCGGGCCACGGGGACGGTAAGCCCCGAAATCATCTCAAGATAACCTCAAGAGGATAGGGCCCCATTTAGATTATGTAGTTCAGTTTTAGTAGCTATGAAATTTGTATAAATTCACTAAAACACTTTCAGTAAAGGATGAAAAGGTTAATTCCACAAATATGAAACCTAT